TTTTATTTGTTGAATCTGTCTTTAAACTTTTTTCCTTTGGATTTCGTCTTTTACTGCGAGGATGCCCACGTACCGGTGCATGTTTTCATTGAGAACATACCATGGAGCCCCAGGTTCTTAAGATTTTTGATTATTAGCGCGATTGTATGATGCCTATGTTGCTGCTGCTCGCGCTCTCCTCCAAACTGGGAGCCATACGTCTAGATTAGTTTTTGGACTGAATTGTTAAGTAGGATTTTGTAGTCCAGGCATAGTGGCGATCAAGAGTTTATTATCCTGCAAAGGAAGAGTGAATCTTCCTGCAATCGATGTGCTTTGGCCAGGTTCATCGCCTATCGAGGTGGACGCCAAGGTGCTTAACTTCGTTAGCTTGGGGGTATAAGCAAATCGTTGTGTGAAAGTGGAGGGCATGTTTGTCTATTAAAAGTAAAAGTTATATTTATACGCTTCTAATCGTTATTGTGGAGGTATTGTACCTATTGTAGAAGTACGACTCAAGTAGCTTAAATTTAAATTTTGGCATGAGTTCATTAAGCGAATTTCGGTCGAAAACTTGAGATACGTCGAGAAAAATAGCGGTAAAGTATTCTCGCGGTTTTTGATTCAGTTCAGCCGGAACGATGGAGTAGTCTTATCGAAGTGGTAATATCGATTGGAGCGCTTACATTTGGATAAGTCCTCGAAAGGGGATACTTTAAATAATAACAATAGGGGATTAATAGTAAATAATAACCAAATTCTTAGTAAGTTTTCAACGCTCCCTCTCGCCCTCAAAAATCTCGAATTTCTGTAGCGCCAGTACAGGAAGGTACTTTTGATGCCAAACTATTTCTATAATAAAATATTTGGAGATAGACCTTTTCCCATTTCCCTAGAATTTGGGATCGTCTGATATCCAGATCAAGTTTGTTTTAAAATTTTGCTACGCCCACTCTCGCCCCCAAAAGAGAAATCTTGTTGTAGCGCCAGTTCGTTAATGTTTTTGGAAAATGTTTTGATGCCAAGCTGTGGCATCCAATGGCTAATCTACACCTACAAATCAAAAAGCTCCCAAGTCGGATAATTTGTAGAGGAGTTATAGACTTTTTAGTTTTCTACCCTTTTGAATAGGTAGTATTGCCGTAGGTTTGTTGAAAGAGTAAGAGTAGGCGCTTTGGTTCTTCTTTGGTTTGAAGCTTCTTTGGTGGCTATTTTGCGTGACACCTATTTTTTTAAAAGAATTGTGCACCATTTTTTAACATATCACAATTGCTAGATTAAGTTTGTTTATTACCATAGCTCGCAAATAAATGTTAACCGATTGCTGGGGTCTCAAAATAAGTGTTGTTCAATGAGTTTTTGATAAAAAAGTCTTTATCCAAAAAGGTTTGTTCGTATAAAAATTTTGCTCTCACTCAAATGACAAGCAATACTTTCTGTTCCTAGCTGCTCTATTTTTTCCTGGACCGTTTGACTTTGTGAGCCGATTCAAATTGTCTGCCTATTCAAACAAGACCCACTAACTTTCATCTACACACATACACAGTGTATATGTATATGAAAGTAAGTGGGTCTTGTTTTATTTGCCTTTGTGACATTTGGATATTCTGAAAAAATAATTAAATCGAAAATTGGACGGAAAATAAAAAAAATTAGATGCGCTTGCTCAGGTAGTGTAGTCTTGTAGTCTTGGCCATCCCGGCTACTCAGGTATCTGTTGAGGGAGCATTTCCAGTTTAACAATTTATTCTAAGCAAAAGGCAAACCAGATTAACAGCCAAACGGTTTTTACAGCCCCGACTTATTCAATAAATAATAATTCTACAGTTCAAGATCAATATTTTTTCGAACTACCAAACTGAGCGGACGTGCTTTGCCCGAGCTGCGGGAAAACTGCAACGTACAACAGTTAACCAAAAAAAAAATAACTGGGGCAACCCAATATAAGCGAAAAGACGCTGAACCACAATTTATGAAGACCAATAGACAAGCTTTTCATTGTTTTAAATAAATATGTGCCACGCAATGAGATCATTAAGAAACGATCAAAATAACGAGCGTAGAAGTTCAGTGAACCAAAGAAACGACTTCTACTCAACCCGCAATACCGAAGTGGAAAAATCGGCGATTAAGAGCAACCAGGCTTTACTGACTGCTGAAACCCAAAGGGCACGGTCTTGCTCACCCGCTCTGCTCACTCCGACTCCCGCGTCTTGGAGCTCGAAGTGTAAAAACCCTATGCAAACAACACTTGTTCAAAACAAGACATGTATTATCATGTACAGCTGCTCGTAGCACAACAGTCAAAATAATCTATGCAGGCTCTTCAAATATCAATGTGGAACACCAATGGTGTCTCACGGCATAACTAGAATTGTCACAATTCTTGACCGAAAACCATATTGACGTTATGCTACTGGTGGAAACGCATCTTACAAGCAAATACAACTTTCAAATAAGAGGCTACACAATCTACCGCACAGATCATCCAGATGGGAAAGCCCACGGCGGAACTGGAGTTCTAATCAGAGAACGCATTAAACACCATTTTCACAAATGTTTTGCAACAAACTTCTTGCAGGCCACATCGATACAAATTCAGTCAAGCAACGGAATCCGCACATACGCACTGGAGATCAAGTCTAGTGACTCCCATAGGGAGGCCAATGTACAATGTAATTATACCATAAATGTGAAAAATAAACTAGACTATGTTTCCCCTGGAAGTCCCACATACTGGCCAACACACTCACCAGACCTTATTGATTTTGCGGTGACAAAAAACATACCTCACAATCCAATAAGTGCCAAAGCAGTCTCGGACTTATTATCAGAACACTCGCCTTCAAAGCCCAGAAATAACCGAACACCCCTTCAGCCTGACGACGCCAAAAACGAACTAGCTTAAATACAAAAAGTACGTTAGTGCCCACATAGAACTCGCCCCGGATTTTAACATGGAATGGGACATCGACTTCACTACGAGCGCTCTTGAAGAAGTACTCGTTGCGTCAGCTAAAATCTCTATTCCTGAAGGAAAGGAAGTAGACCGAAACAAATACTACAAATCTAATCAGCAAATCAAACAGCTCGAGCCAGAAAAGAGGCGCACGCGTCGTGATTGGCAAAACAGCAGATCACCAGCTTCAAAACAACGCCTTAAGGAAGCAACCCGATCACTCGACCAGGCTCTTCACCAGCAGGAAGAAAATGCACAGCTGATTTACATCCAGAATCTCTGGCCAACAAGCACAAAGTACCCCCTGTGGAGGGCCCACCCAAATCTTAGCGCCCCAATTGAAACGAACACCCCGATAATAACTCTTCGGGATTCTGGGCTCGCAGCGACGAAGACCGAGCTTAAACATTCGCCACACATCTCCAAAGTTTCTTCCAGCCAAACCCAGCCTTAAATAGTTTGCAGACAACCTCTATAGCCCATTTTGGAAGTTCGATCAGCATCTTTGGGGTCAATAGGTCACCACCGGGAGCCTTTTTTGGTTTAAGCCCTCTTATGACTTTTTCGATTTCGTTTGGCCGGAATGAAGGTGCGGCTGGCTGAGGGGAGGACTCTGGCTGAAATACTGGCAGGAGAAATGAATCATTAATCTTGGCTATTTCCCAATAAAGTGGAAGAAATCCATCATTATAATGATACCGAAGCCTGGAAAGACCACACAATTCCGTCATCATACAGACCAATAAGCCTTCTATCTTGTTTGTCTAAATTGTTTGAAAAATGCTTGTTAACTCGCATAATACCACATCTGGAAGCTTGCAATATCATCCCGGCACACCAATTTGGCTTCCGAAGAAACTACGGAACCATCGAGCAAGTGAACAGAATACTGCAGCGCTATTTTCCTCGTCGTATCTCAAGCTTTCGACCGAGTTTGTCGCATTGGACTCATGCACAAAATTAAAACGTATTTGCCAAAATACACCCACAAGCTACTTATACCTCTACAATAGGGTATACTCAGTGAGATGCAACGCAGCTACTTCGGGCGACTACATCATCGAAGCTGGAGTTCCACAGGGAAGCGCACTCGGCCCGTGTCTATATGTTTTGTATACTGCGTATAATTCTAGGAAGGCACAACTAATAACGTCAACGTTCGCAGACGATACCGCTCTTATTCTTAGTGCAACGCAACGCAAGCAACAACCAAACTGCATAATCATCTTATAGTAGTGGAAAGGTAACGCAAGCAACAACCAAACTGCATAATCATCTTATAGTAGTGGAAAGGTGGCTGTCCGACTGGCGCATTAAAATAAACGAACAAAAGTGTATACGTTACAAAAAGTATAACGTCTACTCTTAATAGACAAACATGCCCTCCGCTTTCACTAAACGGTATGCAGATCCCTCAAGCTATCGAAGTAACGTACCTTGGGGTCCACCTTGATAGACAATTTACTTGGCGTAAGCATATTGAATGCAAGAAGATGCACCTAAAACTGAAAGCCAGCAGCCTCCACTGGATCATAAACTCACGATCGCCACTGTGCCTGGACTACAAGTTACTACTCTACAATTCATTCCTGTGGGGGAACGCGATCAGCAGCAACATAGACATCATACAGCGCGCACAATCTGAAATCTTGAGAACTAACACTGGGGCTTCAGTATGTTCGCAACGAAAACATCTACCAGGATCTGGGCATCATCGCAGTGAAAGACGAAATCCAGAAGCAAAAAGAGTCTTACAAAGAAAAACTGTCTTCGCACCCAAATTTTCTCGCTCGGTGATGGAATCGGGTTTCTAGCGTATCCCACCTGCAACGTTTAAATAAAAAAAAAAGTATCTGTTAGTTCAACGGAACAACGAAACTTAGGAGAATTTTGACCTTTTTTGTTAATTTTGTTTGTTAATTTTAATGTTTTTTCAGAGATCAACTCATTCTCTCCCTGAATGTTCTAGAAAATTGACATTTTGGGGTTAAGAAAATTGGAAACTTTAAGATCAGTTTGTTTAAAAATTTCATTTCGTAATTAAAAAGAGTTAATAACTCACCACTTTTCTCCTTTTTCTTCACACATTCGCAGAATGGAAAACATTACACGGAGCTTATTACTTGGTATAATGGTATTTAAGTCTTTTTTTGTTAGGTATCGTCGCCACCAATCATTTGTTACCGACATTACACCACTTTGACTATCATATATATCATCTGGTAGATCTTCATCGGAGTTCGAAACTTTTTTGCTATCCTTTTTGGTTTTTGGCTATAAAAAATTTTAATTTGAATAAATTTATTATATTGTATATATATATATATATATATATATAGGTTAACAGTTAACAATATACACTATGATAAAATAAATAATAAATAAAATTAAAACATAATAGACCCAATGAAATAGGTACCATCTGTAAATACTTAAATTTAAGTCCAGCCTTCTGCTGACTCAGCACATCCCGGTTATGTGCGGTCGGGCCACCGACCATAGCTTAGATTTAAAGAGACATTAAAGAGACAGACAGACATTTATTAATGTTTATTTTCTAAACTTATTATATTAAAAACTGTTAAGATATTGTATATAAGGCACTCACAATCAGAGGCCGAAACAGAGAACAAAGCTTTTTGGTCACAATGAGTTAATTTGAAACTGCCAAGCCACTGCCATCACCCACAGTTTCTGCGGTACACCTTAGAGACCTTACATCTTGCGTTGATAATTGTAATGGTTTTTACTCATATCATTTTTGAAATGTATGTATACTTACTGTTGAGGTTTTTCACTGACATTAATTGGCTCCTAAATAAATCAATTATTTAAAAACTTTTTTAGAATATATATTCTGCAGGCTGATGAAACTGGATGATCCCAAGATTAACTTGCCTTTATGATGCTAAGCAGTGACTTAGTGTTATGTACAAAGAGTATGGCCCGACTAGACATTGCAAAGCTAAAGCTCAAGAGAGGACGGCATGACCTAAACATCCTTAAAAAATTATGAAATTTTTCGGATCAACTAACTAAAACTGAAAATAGAATCTGTACTCATGTGAATGTATATGAAATAGAGAAGGAATCATTGAGCCCTCAAAGAATATATTTTTTTGATCAGCATCAACATTCGAGTCACATAGCCATGTCCGTCTATCCATCCGTCCGTATGAACGCGTGGATCTCAGAGACTATAAGAGATAGAGCTATAAGATTTGGCAATACCCACGCGGTTCAAGTTTGTTTGCTGTTTATATATATTATTGTTGTTCGTTAGACTCGCTAAAACTTGAGAACTGCTGAACTGCTGTAGTTTATTCTTTTTGAAATGACTAGTCTGAGTCTTACGTTAGTCTTGAAATGTTCGTGAAAGTCTAGGGAAGGTTCGAAGTGAATCGCTAACGCGACAAAAATTTTTTAGAGAAATGTCAAATGCTCTGTTCATATAACAGGGCCATGTCGACAAGAGATCTTCAGACAGTAAAACTGTACAAAATGTACTGCTGGTGATAAACAAGTCCGTTCAAATTTACTCTTCTCTTCTTTTTTCTGAAGCGAACGGTCGTGTTTTTTTTTCGCTTTTCCTTTTTTGACTGTGCTGTAAAACGGTGTTTAATGAATTAAGAATTGAATTTATATTTGGTTTAAGTTAAAAAAAAGTCATAAAAAATTTTTTTTGGCCGCGCGCTTGGTAACTTTCCATCGGGTGTAATTTCTCGTCCTTGACTAGCAGAAATTACAAAAAAAATACGAACTTCCGGCTTACTATAAAAGGGCCCACAAAAACTCATGGCTGGCGTCACAGAACCCATGGATCTCCACCTCGTATCTCGATTTTAGCGCCCATCTAGAGAATTCGGCGTGCTGCGCCCTGGTAAAGCTGCTACTAATCATATCCCAATCGCACCATCCACGAGGTTCTCAATTTCCCTTGGGTCAAGGACGAGATACAAAGAAGCAGCGCACGTTACATGCAGAGGCTTCATAATAACCCGAACCGGTTGGCCAGCTCCCTGCTGGACAACAGCGAGCAGCCCAGAAGTCTAAAAAGGTCACACCCGCTGGACCTCCCCTTACTACTCTAATTTATTTCTACCATATTAATATTTAAAATTATCTATAAGTGAAGTTTATGTGATAACATTTAATGGTTGTCCCTAATGGACAGTTTTAAATAAACGTTACCCTGCTATATTCCAGTCGGAGTGAAGAGCTTGAGGAATGCATAACTTCTGGGAAAGATTTTAGCCTATGCAAAGACAGGACCGACAAGGCCTAATGGGTCATACAGCCAGGCGACTGAAGACAATGTATGTGTATGTGTATAGGCAAAGGCCAAGAACAATACAAATTTTTCATGTTTTGCCTATTCTTCTCAATCGCTCTAATCCGAATGGATATTGTTGTGGGATTGCCGAAGACTTTTCACTGCAAGAAATTTATTCCTTTTTTTGCTTCGGACAAAATGGTCGACTTGAAGCATGAACTTCTTCTTCGCACAACATTTTTAAAGTAGGAAGCTATGCATAAATTAGCAAAGTAAAATAATAAGCTGTTGTAAAAAATATACGGCCTATTGATAATTGCTATGTAAAAAGTATTTTTATACCCTTGCAGAGGGTATTATAATTTTGTCCAAAAGTGTGCAACGCAGTGAAGGAGACATCTCCGACCCTATAAAGTATATATATTCTTGATCAGGATCACCTCCTGAGTTGATATGAGCATGTCCGTCTGTCCGTCTGTCTGTTTCTACGCAAACTAGTCTCTCAGTTTTAAAGCTATCGTCTTGAAACTTTGCACACACCCTTCTTTCCTTTGCACGCAGTATATAAGTCGGAACGGCCGGGATCGGCCGACTATATCCTATAGCTGCCATATAACTGATTGATCGGAAATGGTATAACTTTGGTGTTTTTAGAGTTAGAGAGTTCAAATTTGACATGAGAGCTATTTTGGCAAAATAATACGACATGCCAAATTTCATAAGGATCGGCCGACTATATCCTATAGCTGCCATATAACTCAACGATCGGAAATGACCCAACTTTCGTGTTTTTGAAGATAGAAAGCTGGAATTTAGTACAGACTCTATTTTTGGTTAGTTGATCCAACCTACCAAATTTCATTAGGATCGGCCGACTATATCCTATAGCTGCCATATAACTGAACGATCGGAAATGACCCAACTTTTGTGTTTTTGAAGATAGAAAGCTGGAACTTGGTACAGATTATATTTTGATCCATCCTACCAAATTTCATAAGGATCGGCCAACTATATCCGATGTTTGCGATATATATCCGGTTTTAGCTGCAAGGGTATATAAACTTCGGCTCCGCCCGAAGTTAGCTTTCCTTTCTTGTTTAATATAATTATTTTTATTTGAAACAATTTTATTTGAAAGTGTTATAATTTTATTTTTCACTGCATCGACATGAAAAAAAATTCTTGTTTCAATGTATTGATTTTATTGATTTTTATTGATTTTTGTATATATTGATTTTTGCACTGGTATTGGATTTTGCTCTGCCGCATGCTGAGCTTGGGCACCCTTGATCTATAGAGTTGCCTCCGGAAAGTAGATCATCCACATCAAAATCGCGACGCAGAGCTTCGGTCCCTTTTGGAAACATTAATTGCATCATCTGCCAACTGATGCATTGACCGAATTGATAAGAATGAGGCAGGCTTCGTTCCAAAGGTGACAGTTTCTATCTTAAAAACCTGCAACTGATCCTGGGTGGAGTCCCGCCAAAGAATACACTGCAGATAGCTTTCCTGACGCAACGATACATTTGAAAATATCTTCAGTAATGGCCACCCGATGACATCTGGTAGGCCATCAGAGAGATAAGATAAGATATCCAATACGCTGTAGCCGAAAAAACTCTGGATCAGCCAAAGAGAGATTTCCCGGAAGATTCCAGCTGAAGACATCCAAACTAAAGCTAAGCTGTCCGTGATATTGTCGGCGATGATAGCGTTAACCAGGGCAGAGCAATCGGAGCAGAGAACTGCATAACTCAAACATAACTTTTTGTTGAGTCCACTCATATGCAAACATTTCATTCAATTCAAGTCATAGGGCGAAACTCAGTGTCAGTTCAGGCAGCCGCTAAATTAGTTTATAGTTTATTTATTAAGCTAATGTATCGACATATCGCCTTAGTTGTTCGCTCTTTCTCGGCCGCTCGTCTTCAACGGGCCTATTTTAAAAGAGCTTTTGCTTAGCAATCGCTATGTCGGGCCGCCCTCTCCACTATCGAGAGCTTTAGCTTCGCGTATGTCTAGTCGAGCCGCACTCTCTGTCCATATTATTAGTCACTGCTTAGCACCATAAACTAGATGATCACAATTGTTGATCCCAGTTTCATCTGCCTGTAGCAAAAATAAATTATAACGTGCAATACTTCAATTCGGCTTTTATTTTGGAGCGGATTTACGGCATTGAAAACCCCTAATGGAAAAATACTCAGCAATGAATAAAAATTAGCACATGCTGATGTGAGAGGTTGTCCAAAATGCTGCTACAAATACCATTTCCGATGGTTCAGTCAGCTATATCTGGCTATAAGAAATGTTATAGTCGGCCGATCGATATAAAATTTGGTAGATCGGATTATCTAACCAAAAATAGAATCCGTACAAATTTTCCATGCATGCACGCGTGCATAGGGTAGGAAATGACAGTGTTAACACTCTTACATTTTTTTAGAAGCTCTCTTATTTGCTATCATTTGACTCATTTGACGCCCAAAGTTAAAAATCAAAATGTTTCCTATGAGAAAAATTTTCTTAGAAATTGGGTTTGAAAAAGTTTTTCATAGAAAATACAGATAGGGAAGCGCAGTTTTTCATTTGTTTAAGAGCTGTTGCTAGCAAGGCTTTCTTTAAAATAAAATAAACTATTTTATTGCCCAGTCCAACTCTTGACTTAAGGGGTTATATACCTTCTTTGTCGAAGAAAAAGAGGAAAGTTCGGATTTTTTTTTTAGGTATGTAGCAATTATTTAATTACACGGATGTTTTAATTTTTTAATAGAACGCTTTATTAACAATGTTTGTGCAAAATTTGGTGAAAAAATATTAAACAGTTTTTAAAGGGTGGCTGTTTCCCTTAGAGGCTTTCTTTTTTTTAGAGCCTTGCGGTGACAATTCCCCAGGTCAAACAGGTCAACTGAAACCATAAAAGTAAAAAAATTTCATTAGTTTAGTGTAATTCCTTGTGCTTGAACGATCGATTTTAAAATTTTTTTTTTTATGCATA